TCCAACCTGGGATTCGACCTGATGATTGTAGTGATCTAGGCAGTACCATTACCTAGACCCCTACAGGAGCAGGCCGAGGACGTCCGGAAAAGCAAATAAACACTCGAACGCTAACAAGTACATCTGGCATAGCGCCTAGGTTTAACAGTTATAGGATTTACTCTGCCAGGGAAGAAGAAACTTAAATATCGACAAATTGTGCAAACAATCGGTGTGAGCTCCGATAAATTTTGCTTGAAAAAGGAAGGGGCTCTCAGATCCCACATACTTTTGTACTTCAGTAGTTAAGAACTGACATAGAGACTCAGTGTAATTCGACTAACGTATGCAGTGAATAAACGTGACCTTCGTTTTGAGCTAATGCCGCAGAGGCTGACAGACTGAAAACGTGCTGACAAAGGCAAGCAAGACAAGCAATACAAAGTACTCACCCAAAAGTTGGAATCATCGTCGAGCTCCGATTCGGAAATTGTAGGACTAGTGTTAGTTCCGAAGTTGGGAGATCGCTGGAGGGGTTCCTCTGGTTGGCCTTTAAAACCTGCAACGCAGGTAGACACAGGACAACCGACCATGTCTGGCCAATAGGCTTCTGAAGTGTCGCTTGTGAAATTGACAGCTTTGGCACGTCGCGAAACCTTGAGTATTTCTGGTTCTGATTCGGGTTTATTTAAGACGTCAAAGGTGTCCTGAAGACGGGCGCTTTTCAGCCTATCCACAATGATTGAAATTGAGGAGAGGGGCCGAGCCGCAGTTCGAGGGTGGATTTCAGACTCGGAGATCATGTTTGATGATGAACTTCTTGGCAAGAAGAGGCCCTAATGTCTGTAAAGCGTAAACGTAAGCGTCTGTGAAATGCGTGCTTACTCTGAAGGTTAAAAAAACAATTGCAGACTCCAATATGACTCCCAGAAACAGGTAAAGGACCTAATTGAGGATGGAAACAAACTAAACTGATAGTCAGTATAGCCCTTGGAACTGAAGCAGGCAAGAGAGAACTCGCTGATCGAGAACAGGCGTGTTGTCGGGTGGGGCCAAAATGCCCCTAGCAAAGTCGCAACGGATGCTTGTGGACGACACGCTTCGCGGTGGTGAATAAGTCGTTTTCGTGAAGCAGGGTAGTTTAGGCTACGCAGAAGACTGGTAGTCGTAAAAAACCAACTTAGGGCAAACAGAAAGCAAAAAGTCGAGCCACCTGACGCGCCGAACCCCGCAGTTGCTTTATGAATCCACAGAAATCCAACGAAAAGCGTATTTGGTGCCAAGATAGCACTCTAAGCAAAAAGAT